ATTTTCTATATATATTTCTATGTATTTTTCTATATCTTTCTATATGTATACACTATATATACACACACGCACTATTTCTATCTACTAAAGTATAATTTTGAAAGCAAAATCCTCAAAGCTATTTTCACTTTTTAGTGTTTAAAATACAGAAACAGTTTTGCCTTAAGACCAAGCCCTTGAGTCTGCCATCTGTACTGCACTTTATGCACTTTATGCACAGAATTTGAGTATTCTTCCAGGGAAGAAGACCTAAGCAAAGGGTAGAGCAAAAGTATCATCTGCCTACACTTCCTACAGAGACAAAAAGACACTGAGAAAGACAGCTTGCCATAAGCAGAGTTTACAAATTAACAAAATTTTACTGTACATATAGAAGAAAGAATTTTATGACCACCATACTTTATGATTTCTGATGATACTCAAATACTGCAAATCCTTTACAGACTACCAGGCCTACTTAAATAATCATTAATTTACAAAACAAGACATTTACAAAGCAAGAAACTCTAATACTTACATAGCTGTGACTCTTAAGGAAATCTGAAGGGTTGCTTGTGCAGACTTTATCCCCTTCCAAGCCAATTACTCTTTTACAGATATTTGATTTGGGGTCATTTGGGCTTTTCACAATTACAATATCTCCTCTGAGAGGAAAAAACAGAAACAAAACCAAACAGAAAACTCTAAGTACAAACAATTTGGCCGAATACATATGCATCAGTATGTATACTCCAAAAATACTCACACACATTAAACATACTTCCTTCTGCTGAAAATTGTATACAATTTTGGTTTCTTCAGTTTTACTCAGGGTGTAATTTTACACACAGTTTTTTACAGTACATTTGGAGAGATTCTTTGTTATTTAGATCATTTATGAAACATTTAAGACTACATTTTAATTGACAATACTCTGATGAATGCCATTTAACTTGATTCCGTTTTTACATAAAAATGGAACAGAACAGATTCCGTATTCCTAAACATTATTGACCAAATGTTATTCTTCCAATGGAACTTCAAATGTCTAATCTGAGTTTGTAAGACCTTATATTACTTTTGCCTCCTGATTATATACATTAGATAGTACAGTGAAACAGACCACAAGAAAATGGGCAAGGGCCTCGAGCCTACTGTGCTCTACAACACAGTAATAAAGTGACATTTGATAAACAGTACTTGTACCATTTGGTCACTTTCCTAACAACCTAACTGAGCAGAGCAATACCTACAGCTTGGTTTTCAAGTAAGACAAAACTGCTTAGAGAGGAGAAGTTACATTCATACAACAGAACTGTTTTAGGGGAAAAAAATGGGAATTTTTCCATTTTTTGGACAAAGCTGTAAAAGTGACATAATTATATCCTAAATAAATTCTGACAAGTTGTTCAACGGGCTGTATGTGCCGATTACTTTACCTTCTAGACACAATGAGAGGACATTTATGAAAAATTACAATTTAGAAGCAGAAGAATATATGAAAAATAAAGGACAGATAGAATGTGGTTATTCACAAGCTATGGCAAACAGAATGTAAAATCTAGTCTCCTCAAAGGAGCATACTTTCGAATGCAATAAAAGTGGCGGCTAAGGTTCTCCGAAAAGACAATATCAGAATTTTGAATGGTTGGTTCCATTGAAGGTCCAGAACACTGCAAATTAAAAATAAATGAAAAAAACATTACTATTTCCAATTGCTTTTCTCTAAAATACATTAATAATCAAGTTATTTGCTAATAAATTAGAAAAGGTGTAACGTAAAGAACAACGAAAGAAGTGAGATCCTCCAAGGAACATCCAATACGTGTAAGAGGTGAGGACAGCCTCCAGAGCACCCCAACTCTGTTACAGCTCCATATTCGCTTAGGATTGGTCCTGAACTGTGCTAGGTGCTACAAGCCCCTGCGGATTCATTTCAGCACCTGATCTGCAGGAAATTATTCGGAGCAGCACTCAAAGCTCTGCCAGCTTACCCCTTTCTTCAACCTCGGTAAAAGAGAATCATCACAGAAGCTGCATGGGCAGCTCACAGCCAAACCCCACTATGTCCAGCAGCAGTATCTGCTAGTTTTAGAACCTGGGGAGGAGGGAGAGGGAGCATAAAACATCCAGAAATCTGCCCAGAGTTGGAAACAAGAGCGTTTCCTATGGTGGTCTTAGTGATTCCAGTTTTCTGGAAGAATGTGCTCTCTGCAAAATGCTTAATCATAGTTTGGCCATGTGCTTCAGTGATGCCTCAAGCATTAACTTAGCAAAAAATACAAATGCCTAAAGTAGAAGTAACTTTCATAAAGGCTGGACCTGCCTCCAAAAAAACCAGGCATTTACTAAACCTGCTTTGAAAAAGCTTTAAAGAAAATGAAGAAACCTGAAATATTGGCATTATCACATACAACAATTTCAGTATTATAGTTTTATTTTGTTTTAAATATCATGAAAATGAAAAGTTACCACAACAATTCCTCCAAGGTACTCAAAGGCACAATGTGCTATGCAGCCATATTGCACAGTATACCCAAGAAATCGAAAGGTTTTTCCTAGGACATTGCGAAGCATGGTACAGCGTAACGTCATTCAGCTGGTTCTAGTCTACAGTAAAACAGAAAAATATCATTTATTTGATAACAAACAACCTAGCATTTATAAAACTTATCTCTTGTACCTAACAACTGAGGGAAATTTTTTTTTAAAAAAAAGTTAATAAAATCGACAAATAATCAGATATATCTAAGGAGATTAATGTAGTTTAAACTCAAATACCATCACTAAGTTTATTTACTACACAGGATTGTTCCACGTATACAATTAATGGACCCCTCTCACCAGCTTATTAGTGAGATTCAGTTGACTAGGAGCCGAAACAACAAAAACCTTTGCCAAACTACAGAAATTAATGGGAGAGACGGTGTCAGTGCTCTCTGCTGACTCAGCTGGGCTTCTTTTAGTCAAGACAGCAGACAGGCTCACCTGCCACATCTCTAAATATCTGCAATAGTTATGAGAACATCCTCCCCTCCACTGCATTTGGCTGAATGGAATGTGGAAAGCTGTAATCATACCCTTAAATGCAGGCTTTGACTTCCTGACTGGACCACATATTGTAACTCAGATGCAGTTATTTATTTAACAACACTTGACAGAGTTGTTTTAATCACATGAAGATGGTGCAAGTTAAATCGCTGTTTTTCTTCAAGTGCTAGTATTTAAAACTGCTGCACACTCAACAGCAAAACAGAGAAGCATCAAACCGTCTGAAGTGATCTAAAGATATTTCATAACTGAAATTGCATTCATAGAAAACTGGAGTAATCAAGTAGTCAGCCAAAACTTTAAAAGTGACCTGACAATCCATCAAATGAAAAAAGGCTTGATGAACTAGACAAAATTAAGGATAAGAGAGTCCTGAATAGCTTGCCTAAGTAAGACTATAGTAGAAAAAGAATACAGTTGTCCATAGGAATTCTGGAGGTTTTGCAGAGCTTTCCTTTGACGAGACTTCCATTATCAAAACACTTGCATATAAAAATAAGGTATTAAGTCTTTCTGCTCTCAGCTACTATACAGTGGCCTAAGTTCTGCAGCACCTAAGACTCTAAATATCTTCTGACCCCCTCCCCCAAATATTTAAGTCAAACTTTGATGATTAGATGTAATTCCTGCAAAGCTAATCTGTTTCCTTACCCCAATTTTTAAGATAGATAGATAGATGATAGATATATACACACACACACCCTCCTATATATATTTCTCTTAAGGAAGTGGAAAACATACATATTGAAGTAACTGAAGCAAGTCTTACATTCTGCAAGACACCTGTCCCCCTTAAACTTAGTATCAGCTTTATCATGAACTAAAACCACAGCAAAATCTCCCTCATTTACTAAGATGGGTCAATATAGCTTGCTAAACAAATGAAGCAAGTCAAAAAGGAAAAAAAAAAACAAACACAAAAAAATGCTGTGTGTACAATATGCCCTACTTGATTAAGTAAAGACCTCCCCTTCTATGTATCATGACATTTTGCTATTTAAGAGAATACATAAACCTCTCATGCCAACAGCTATCAGGCCCTACCTAAAATATTTTTTTATTATGAAGCTACAAACAACTGCTGTATGTCTCTGAAAATAAATTTCAAACTGATTGCAACTGATCTGTTGGACTCTGGATGACACGTACTTCCCAATAGTTACACTGAACACATTCGTTTCTCTCTGAGAAACTCTGAAGTAGGAGGGATAAATTTGTAAATTATTTAAGGAAACACAGGGTTCAGAGTGACCTTCACCTACTGCTAGAGCTGTCATGGTATAAAACTAACCACAAGGATAGAACATGAGTGAAGAGGTCTCAAATTTTGTTCCCAGTTCTCTTAAAGTAAGGTCTTAACTCCAGAGACATAGATTTCACCAGTCCTGTTTATAAATGTGGCACAACGGATTTTTTTAAGTGCTCAGGCTTACCAGATGTTCACGATAATGATGAAAAAATTCTTAGCTCTTATATAAGTCTTTTTATTACTACTTAAGAAACTTAATTTCAAATTAAGGCATATATATATACACCTAAGATTATACACAGTTTGAACCTAACAAGGTAACTTCAGAGGATTGGGGGTGGGTGGGTGTGTGTTTTTAACATTAAGGTCCATCTTTAGATATCTAATGTTCATTCCACAGAAAAACTATAATCCTGAAAGTTTCCATGTAGTTTTAAGTAACAACTTTTAGTTAAGAAGAGAATGATTGTAATAAGAGTAAGCCAGTAAAAAAAACCACCACCAAACTCTAGTTTATTAAAAAAAAACCCACAGAATATTTATCTTACAATTGCTCTAGCTTAAGCATCAGTAAAATATAATTGTTTCCTCAGAAAACTATTTATCAGTACATTTTTAAAACAATGTCTATTGTTTATCACAAGAAGGTAAATGGCTGAACGTTTTTCCACATCACACAATTTTAATACAAAGTGCAATCAGCAGGCAACTCCAGCAGATACAGCATAAGACCATTAAGCACAACAAAACAAATGATTTAAATCACACGCCCCTGGAAAACTTAATGGATCTGTTGTATAAACATCCTTATTGCAGAACTAACAGCATAAAACCTGTTGTAATTACTTCCAGGTACCACCTACTATCGTAGAGTAAGTAGCTGAAAAATTTATACTGAAATAGACATTGATTAAAAAAGGTTACACATCCATATTTATCACATAGAATACAATTTGGTTATTTCACAGGAACTGTATAGTTCATCCCCTGCAGCAAATAAAACGCAAAATGTAATTACTGTTATCTTCTGTTCCCTTTTCCTTATGTAGCCTATGCCTTCATCATTTGATTTTTTTTTTGTTTGTTTGTTTATAAAATTAATCACAGCTAGCAGGGTGGAAATCACTTTGAGCCTCATGAATGACATCCAAGAGATGGGAAAGGATTAGTTCTCAGTTGCTGCCAGTTATAGCGCCAGGTGGCTTTTTCTGCAGTGAAGGTGTTACCGATAATCCCATTACATTGGTACTAAATCTTGCAGACATCAAAATTATCACCAAGGTTCCTTTTCATCCCATCCTTTCCAAATGACTGGAAGTCGCTTCACCTGAAAGAAGTCAAATCCACATGCAGCTGCTGTTTTAGCAGCCAGCGGACTCCCTGAGAATGCCAATCGTGATCCAATTTTGCTGTGCTGGTGGCCCCCTATTCCCTGTCCAATAATACATCTGTTAAAAAATCCTACAGCTACAAATCAAGTTTAATCCTACCAGGGACCTCATGTTGGTCTTGTCTTCCAAAAAGGCAGCAGGTTTTGCCGTCTATCTCTGCTAGTGTCTGGGGAATACTCTTTAAATCCCAGCCCTACTTAGAAGAATAAGCTAAGGATCACAAAACATGACCTCAAAAACCCTGATATGACTATATTCTGACCCAGAGGCATTCATTCTAGGTGAAGATTAGAACTTTGCATAATAAGATTACACAGCAAGTGAATGATATCAAGGGACTATCCATATGCAGCCGCCTGGTTTTCTATAGACAGCCTGTGCTCTGCAATATGCAGTGCAGACGAAACAGAGCTTGGTCTTTCTAGCTGAAATAAAATAGATTCACATAAATTAGTTGGCCATTTCCAGATTCCTAAATCCCCTATTACATCTTTTATTGACAGCTCCTGTGAGGATAGCACAAATGGTATTCTCTTTGTATTCCTTGCTTCTGTAACAATCACACTGAGGGAAATGTACATAGGTTGTCTAGAAATTAACATCTTGTTCGCTGTAATCTTGGATTACAATTAACTGTGTACATAATAAAATTAGGAAATCAATGAGCAGATTTATCATTTCCAGATAACTAATGGCATTGGGTAACACAGTTTAACATATGGTGCCTAAATTTTAAATACAGGAAAACTGAAGTCGCAACCAATGGAAGTATGGCTAAAAAAATTATTGGACTTGATATTCAAAAGATTTTTCACTAATTACGCTCACATTGGCTTTATATAATGCTTCCTAATTATGAATTTTGACTGAATTTTTAGTTTTTCCTTAGCTAACAGAAAGTCCTCTCCTAACATTCTCTGCTTCTAACTAGACACCTTTCTTCACACAAGGTAATCCCATAACTTGCACTATCTCTTTCCTGAAGAGTTACTCAGATTTAAAAAAATCCAAAAACTCAAAACAAAGGAAAAAACTGCACACTAACTAGGCTATTTAAATACTTATGTTTGAGTTATTTATATTAAACAATTCTTTTAAAACTTCTGCATGAAATTAATGTTACATGTGCGAGAATAGTGAAGGGTGTATATCATGTATATTGGGAAAGATTCTTCCCATATCAGACATACAACTTAATATAAAATGTTTTAAGTATTCTAATTATAGTCTGAGGACTCCAAACATCTAAAGCAAAACAAGGAATAATTGTCAAAAGGTCTTCCCATGCAGGGAGTCAGGCAGAACTTGATTTGTATTTCCAGTTGTTGATTTTCTCCAGAAGAAACACTGGATTCAGTTTGGCAAATCTGAAAAAGCTTGGTGATATTCTGGAAGGGAAGATTATTTTTTTACATTACCTCTACCAGACACTGACAGTTTGTCACCAACAAGTGCTCCTTCATCAACTGATGTCAAGCTGACAAGGAGCTCAATCCTGTAAACACAGATTCACAGAATGCAATTCTCTGGTGTTAAACAACTAGAGACTACCTACGTAAGAATTAGCAATTTTTCAAAACAGATTTCAAGTAGTTCTCACTGGTTCTATTTACCTTTGGGAAGCAACTCCTAACAATCCCACAACCCTGTATAAAGCGCCGTATTAATGGTCAGATGCATTCCAGGGCTTCTATCTTCCTCTGCAGCTCTATACACTCATCTTTGCTGAGCAGCAAAATCCAAATAGCTGAGCAAAGGCATGGTCGTACATGGCAAGTTTGAGCCTCTGAGGGATGCGGAAATATTCACTTAATAGTTTCCTGTAACAATGTCAAAGTTAGGACAAACGCCAAAGGTTTGACAGACAGCACAGTCACTTTCCTGGTAACTGAGAAAAATACACTATCTATGTGACAAGGGTCA